AGCTTGTTCGATGACTCCTGTCGTGACGCGGTGTAAGCAGCACCCAGAAATAGGCACGAGCTCATGATGAACAGTAATGAAACATTGCGCCTGCTCGTCCGAAATTTATTCGAGTGAGCTTTTAGTAAAACGCTCTCTATGAGAACACTTAAATCTGAGGGAATAAGAAGCGAGAGATGTTTTGAAATTTTATGAAGTTGTAGCCGTTAAATCAAAGCATGCAAAGGACCCTGTCGGATTTGGTGACCATACCAGAATCGAGAAACGAAATATGTCATCTTGAAGAGCAGCTTGAGGCGCGTCCAGTGGTATATAGGAAACCATGTTTTCATTCAGTTTTGGATGGACTAGGATCATTTTACTGATGGAGTGCTATCAGTACAAGCCATAATCAATGGTTCGACGCTGACTCCGAATATGATATTTTAATTGCATAAAAAGTGAGTTCTGGTTGAAAAAATAGAGAATTTCGGGCAGAATTTCGATGTTTTCGCTCCTGATTCAGAAAAACTGTATTTTCTTAGTAATAAAGCAAAATAAAACAAAAGGCGATCCGTACTTTTAAAGCTCGTTTAGTGGCGCTTCTAATGAGATAAAAAGGTCGGCTACAAAAGAAACTAGATAGGTTTGCAAAATTTAAAAACTTTCAAGAGAAGAGGGCCATTACTAGAGTTTGACATATGACGAGTACAGGAAGGGTGATTACATACTGGAATTTTCGAATATAACTCATGTGGTGCAACTTTACTTGCTGATCACGAATATGGTCTTAGATTTGAAGGAGTATGATTGGATCAAAAAAATGATTTTTTACGAAATTAAAAGAGAAAAATGGGTCTAAAAATTGATCACTAGTTTTCAATGCAAGCCAATTTTGGGTACCACGCCCCCTGTTGAAGAACTTCCAAACAGTGCGTTTTGTAGCTCTATCTCCTTCGCAACTGATGACAAGATCTGGCGCATGGCCACATCTTCTGTGATTGACACACCTCAATACATTGAGACCCATCGTCATCGACTGTTCGTAAAAGATGATGCCATGTCGGTGAAAAATCGCGTTTGTCTCTGTTAAGATGAGACGGCTGGAGATGTATATGAGTATATAGCCCGTGAGTATATGAGCTTGTAGCCCGTGAAAAGCTCTACAAAACTGCACATAAGAAATATTTTTCATACTTCCACTGACACTGGAGTAACATTGATCAACCATTGATTATGGCTTGTACTGATAGCACTCCATCAGTAAAATGATCCTAGTTCGTCCAAAACTTAATGAAAACATGGTTTCCTATATACCACTGGACGCGCCTCAAGCTGCTCTTCAAGATGATATATTTCGTTTCTCGATTCAGGTATGGTCTCCAAATCCGACAGAGTCCTTACTGGATTCAGCTCGTCGTGAGGTATTGATTGACGAACATTGCTGGTATTTTGAGATTATATCTGCAAAGCGTCAACATTTTTCGCACTAACTAATTAATTAGTCATTTTTTCATTTTCTTTGTTCGTTCTGGTTGGAATGTAGGGAAATTCCAAATTCAGGATAATTGACTATGCTCAACTTAATGATTGATTCAGTTTTTTCCTCCGACGACTTTCAGTTTTTCAAGTTTTGTGGCAGAACGGTAGACTTAGCTTGTAATTCGCCCATTTCTAATTGATTTGCTGCTGCGGAGTGTGTTCGCTGAAGCTGGAATTTCCTGTCTTAAACGGAGGAAAAATCGATTTTATTTCACAGTTGATACCATTTTTTTGTTACAATGTATTGACAATACTTTTGAAAGACATGAAATCTGATTATATATTCTATTCGATAGTTGACGCGCAGCTCAATAGATTGGTTCATAAGTATGAGATACAAAACAAACTTGCTGAACGTCTTCGCTCACTCAAAGATTTCGAGATCGTCGTCCTCTGCGACGATTCCGGTTCGATGATGACACCTGTCGACGGTACTGAGCGCACTCGCTGGGATGAACTTTGTTCAATTGTAAAGATTGTACTCGAAATCGGCACTATATTCGATTCGAATGGCGTCGACATCTTCTTCCTCAATCGACAAGCTTTCCTCAATATCACCGATCCCATAGAGGTCGACCAGGCATTCGCTGGTCGTCCGAGTGGTTTCACGCCGCTGGCACCTGCTCTGCGATCCATCTTTAAATTACCAGCAGCCCATCGAGGCCACGATAAGAAGTTGTTGGTATTCATCGCGACCGATGGAGCGCCAACTGATGAGAAAGGCAACTCCAATCTGCCCGAACTTGAGCGTGTCATGCGCGACGAGCGTCAATCGGAGACCACCCATGTGATGTTTCTACTCTGTACCGACGATCCAGCTTGCGTTGACTACCTGAATCAATGGGATCGGACGATGGTACATGTCGATGTCACCGACGATTTCAGAACGGAAAGAGAGAAAATTCGTCGTTATCGTGGACCTAACTACCCATTCTCACTTGGCGAATATATTATTAAGGCACTGATCGGTGCTATCGATCAAGAAATCGATAATCTGAACGAGCCCGGTCTAACGCAAAGTGCTGGCGGCCAATAATCGATACGGCTTGATTTTTATTTGGAAACTGCATTATGATGCATGACTTTTGTGTCACCCTCACCGAAGCTACATAGTATGAAGAGGAGTTTTTTGAGAATAAATTGTTACCGGGAAATAGCTCTCAGTGAGTGGTAATCATTGACTTTCATTCGACTGTTTCAGTCCTTTTTTGAAAAATATGACACTGCACCTCGAGCTGAGTGTGGATGTTCGGTTTACAGAGTTCAAAGCTATGAAAAAAAGAATATGACCTTTTCTTCTCGTAATGTAAATAATTGTTCTCGCATAAACCTCACAGTGCCTCATAACGAACTATTGAGGCCTCTATTGTTCTGAGTGAAAGAACGACCGATTATTGCTTTCTTAATTCATTAAACAATTATGGAATCAGTGAGCTGTTTTTCTACCTTCTTCCGACTGTGTCCCACAGTCAGTAGATTTTGCTAATTATTATAGCGTTATTGAGCGGTATGGCATGGTATATCATGGTTAACTACCATATATAACATAAATAATCCGGCTAGATATCGTATGACAACGGAGCGTTTGAAGAAGATGACAGACGTTTGTTGAGTCATGACAAAATAATTGACATCCAAAATGGTAGCGGGTAAACCAACCACTCGAACGAAAGTGTCATCGCCGGCTTTCAGACCACCGACGGATAGGGCGAAATGAGGAAATGAACTCAAAACCAACCCAGCGACAGTTACTAATTAACTTCCAAATACAAACATACTGAAATTTCCTCAATTGCAGGAATTGGCATCCACCGATAACGAAATTTATTTGGATTTGAGTTTTCGACGATGTGAAAGCAAAATCACGGAAAATCATCGAAAAAAATCTAAAATCACATGAGACTAAGCCCACCAAAAATATGATGAGAGATCTCAAATTCTCGTAATCTTCTGTTTTTCGACAGTTTCGAGAAGCAAGATTCCACTGTTGAATGTTCAACTGATAGGAGATGAAACTGACTCAATTGAAATCACAGTTTGGGAGAACCAAAAACATTTAATTGAAAAAAAAAAATCATATTTGTTTGAAAATATCAGAATTGAATGACTATTTCGGGCGTCAAAGTCTAGAGGTATGGCAAGGATCTTCAACAGATACAATAAAAGATGATAGCCTTTTTTTTGAAAACGACAGAACTACCTGTACCTTGTGTTGCAAACTATCTCTCCAAAATAAATTTGATAGGTAACACTTTGGGTTTGGTTTGGTCACCAAACCCAACGAAAGTATTATTATCGTTAGTAAACTGCTAGCCCATGTCCTGCAGAAAGTTTATATCTGCACAAGATCTGTCAAGTTTCTTGATCTCAAAGAATGTTCAACAATTCTTGTCAAGATCTTGTCAAGTTTTTTTGGAGGAATCTGCCTGCAAAAATCTGAATCAAGATCTTGACAAGATATGAAAACTTTTCTGTAATTAACAAAATCTTTGCTAACAAAAAAAGTTATCAATTATTTTGATTACGACATGACTCAGAGGTT